CTGAGGGGGCAGCGAGGGAGGGGCAGCTCTCCCCGCTTGGTTGTAGTTGCTGCTGCCCGTGAGGAAGAGACGGGCAGGGAGCTGGAAGGGCGACTGACTTGAGCAGAGCCACTTGGCTGTGGCTTTGTCTGGGCTGCTTGGGCTCCGTCTTTCTCTCTTTCTCGCTCCTCCTTCCCCCTCTCCCTTCTCTCCTCTCTTCTTCTTCTTCCCCTCTTATAAACTACACCGGATCAGGGACCCAAAGACACTCTTTTGAGTCCCACAGAAACTTCAGCTGCACCTGCTGGGGAATAAAACCCTATTATTATTATTATTATTATTATTATTAGTGCAACTATTGATAATTATATGAATATCAAATCAATATCAAAAAAAGGTAGTTTACAACCTTGATATGATTAGCCCAGAAGCAAGAGCAAATGACGTTCTTTTGAGCATTGCCGTCCTCTTCATGTCTGATCTTTTTAAAAAATGTGATCCCCCAGCCCACCCACCCCACACACACACACAAAAAGGAAAAAGCAAGACTGGCAAGCTTCGTAACATTACATTGCACTGACCCTACTCTTAATTTCTCCAATTGCCAGGCTCACAGCACCAGAACTTACTGGAGTGCAAAATATCATTCTTGGTATTTAACGTCCCGAAAGAGTTGAGTGGGCAATTGGTAACAATTAAAAGGGGGGGGGGAGAGCTAAATGTAATTAAACTGGCAGCTTCTTGCTCACATAGTTTTATTTCTTTTGCTCTGTGTGTTTGTGCAGGGACATTTCCTCTCCATCCCTTCAGCCCAGACCTGTGTAACTGAAAGAGTGATATCATTGGGAAAAGGAACAGATGCTCCGAAGGACCAAAGGAGGGGAAAACGAAAAACCAAACGCAGAGCTTGGGCTGGAGGAATATTTCGTGACAAAGCATTTGCTTTCAAACGTTCAGGGATGCAGTGGCAGGAGGACCTCGGCACCAGGAGGCAGAAGCAAACCTTCCAGGCTTTAATGTAGCTTTGTTGGTCCCCTACCAGCAACCCGACAGAACCAGTGTGAGCATTCAGCACATGATGTAATTCGAAATGATAGCCAGCCTTTCTGAAGCGCAAGAATGGTACAGTCCAGGAAGGTCCCTCTTGAATTACTTTCATTGCAAAGGGAAAGATATCCTTCCTTTCTCACCTCTCCACGCCAATCCCCCCCCACCCCCAATCTCAAGGAAGAACAAGCTGATCACATGGAACGCATCTTTCCCTCTCCTCGCGCAGGCAGACTGCCTCTCTGGCCCACCTCCCACACATCTGATGTGTATTCTACATACCAGGCCCAAGGGAGGTCATTGCCATCTGTTTTACCTGGAAGCACTGCCAAATCTGTACCAAACCACAGCTCACCTGCTAGAACTTTTCCTAAGAACGTTTCTCAATTTTTCCCAGCTGTGTTGATTGAGGGGGTATTTAAAAACTCTGTATTTTTTTGACAGGGCTGGATGAGAACGTGAAAATGCACAGTCCAACATAGGCATTTCCAACACAGCGAAGGTAAATGGGGCGTCCTGCAGTGAAGTAACAGTACACAAGCCAATTCCAAAAGTCTAATGCCTTGGAAACGGAAACCTTTGAAAGTCACAGATGAGAATCAAGCTGGCTCCGTTCTCACCATTAAAAAATAAATAAATAAATGTCAATTCCATGAATCTCAGTGCTCATAAACATGACAGGCTAATAACACCATTTTTACTGCCAAACAGAGTGCAGGCAAATAGCCTTTCACATAACTTTGCCAGCACAACCCATTCTGAGTACATTTTCCTAGCATGCTCTCTGGCCTGCCAGCACAGATATTCCAAAATGGACCAAATTATGCAAGGTAACAAACATTCCCTCCTTGGCATGCCAATACGCAGAACTAGCAATAATTTGAGTTGGGGGGGGTGGACCCATGAGACATTTAGGAGGGATGTCTACATGTATCTCATGCATTATATACTTAACCAACCACATATAGTGGAGGGAGGAGGAATTTCTGTAACACCACCTGCTAACAATGCAGCAAGAGGAATGGACTCCAGCTGCTTCTGCTTGGATATGTCTCATCTAGCCAGTGTTACCTTTTTCAGCAGACAACCCTACAAATAAGCTGGAGGAAGGATGATGCAAAGTCTGCAGAACTATCAGAGGGATTCCAATCCCTGCTGAAGTCAACGAGAGTACTTCCAAAGCTTTCTCGGGGCTGTTCAGTTTTACCTTAATTTTTCTCTTACTCCACCTTATCAGCATCCATCCGCAGCATTTTCACCACCCCATACTACCGCTCTCCCTTCCTCCCTCATGTCAGCTCTTCATCTTGTATCTCCCTCTTCATATTACCTTCTTTATTTACAATCTCCCCCCAGAGCTCCATGTGGGTTTGAATGTGTAAGCTTTGTGAATCTGAGCCTTGATGTACAAAGAAACCCAATGTAGTCCATATCTGAAATGGACAATTGAGACATACCTATATATTTGAGAATATATATTATGACAATTCTAGTAATTATGTTAATTATGAAAAGCATACACCAGTAGCTCAAGTTCTGGCAAAACCCATCAACACATACTGCTTTTACTAGACTGGATTCCCATTTATCTTACATGCCACCTGAGCCTGCTGTTAGACTCTGATCAACATTAACTTGCATTCTGATAATAAAAAGTGCTGTATAATCACTGTGCTAGCTGAACATTTTTTACTTCCTTCCTTTTGCTATCTAACTAGGCTGTATACTTCAGTTCTTGAACTGTCTACAGCCTGGGAGTTCAGAGTCTTTCAATTTAAATTTTGTTGGTATTACCCTGCACTGAAAATAATAGAAACTTAATTTTAAAATAAGAATATGGAAAGCTGCCTTATACCAAGACAGATTAGTCGTCCATCTAGCTTAGTGTTACCTACTCTTGACTGCTAGTGGGTCTCATGGGTTTCAGATTATTCCAGTCGTGCCTGAAACCTGGGAGCTTTTGCTTGCAAAATGTGTTCCATCACTGGGCACAGTTCTTAGGGTTAATAAAACAGAATAAAATGCCACACAAAAATGGTTAGTAAACCAAATTTGGGAGTTAACACTATCAGCATTAGTGCATCACAGATGCGTCAACTTATGAATGTAGATTTCCGTTTCACAATAGTCATTAAACTGTCCACTGTTCAATTTATTGTAGTGGTTCCCAAACCCTTTTCCCACGGACCACGCAGAAATCGATGAGCATCTTGGTGGACCACTTAATGATTTTTTTCTGCCTGTTGTAGCAATTGCAATATTGTGTTAAATGCTGCATGATTTTTAATTGTATTTTTACAGACATGCCAATAATTATCTGGATGAAGGTGGTGGACAACTAGTGGCCCACAGATTGGGGACCCCATATGTATTGCACCTATTGCACCTGAAGCAGCATATAAATAACACCAAGCAAATAAAATTCAAGTCCCATCTCTACCCATGTCTGCACTTGAAAGGTTTGCACACATTTCTTCCTTTTCTCCTCCCCTTGATATTCCATCCTTACACACTTTCCTGCCTGCCATCAACTGATTATGTGCTGCCGCATCTCTCACACTCTGTAATAATGTCAGCATAATAAAGACAGCCTTAATCTAGTTTCTAAAATGGCAATAAAGATGAGTTATCTATTAAGCAGCTACATGTTCTAACGGGTCATCAGAATCAAAGCCTTTGATATCTTTATCTGAGTTTGCAAGGCCTAATAACTCTTTCGGCAGGAGCTATATGTTGTTGATCCCTCATCCCCAGCTTAAAACATGATTTGCATTAACAATGTTCTGCCTGCTCAGAGAATCATTAGAGGCTGGTGATGAGGGAAAACTCCATGATTCCAGGTACATCAAAACCTTCTAAAAATGAACTCAAGAAATGATTGTTAAAATGATATAATGGTGTAAAAGGCAGTATGGAATTTCTGTGCCTACTTAGAAATCTGCCAAAGGAGGAATGCAGTTGGGAACTAAAGTATTCTCACTTAAAATACTTATCTTTCAAGTTTAGGTAGCGTGGACTACTGAAGAATTAGGCACGTGTAAGTCTTACTGATTTCACTGATACTTAAGTGCATCTACCTACATTAGATTGAAGACAAGACATGGATGGCATAGGAAATGGCTGTCACATGAGAGCCACTTAAAATTGCTTCATATGGCAATTGTCTCCTCACACGGTAACATCGTAGGATCTGGGACATAGCTGGAAAAGCCACAGCTTTTACTGAACAGTATTGGTTGTGGAGAGAGATTTGAAGGGTATTACAGAGGAACGGGTGCTGCAAACCTTTAGTTTTTACAGGCACTCTCTTCCCTTGAAAGGTGCATGGCAGGCATAGAAGTAACTATAGCTCCACTAGGGGTGGAATTTGGTAATAGTTCATAAGATGGCACCCTACGCGAGGCCAGAATTTGGCGCTCTGAGATGAATCTTCTCCATTATGGATCTTCTCAATTTTGCACCCCCTCAGCTTGGCACCCTGTTGCAGGAGGACCGCCCAGGCCACCTTAACTCTGGCGCTGGCTCCCCCTTTGCCACACACTCCCCCGTACTGTTATACATTACTTAGGTGTGCTTGAAAGGCACAAGAGCTCTGCTAGAATTTCCAGCATGGTTGCTTCGAACAGCCATTGCAGAATGGATTTTCAGGTCTCTGGTGCAGAGAATGCTTGCATTTTCATCTCAGGGTTGCCACTTCAGGCTTCAGGAGGTGGGAGCAAATCTATTTCTGTGTGTGGTGGCAACAGTTAAAGTCGTACACTTGAACAGATAGCCACTATATTTTGAAAGCATTTGCTGCACCTAATAATGACCAGGAATATAGATACTCCAGCACAATAATTACATCAAGTCTGAAACATAGGGTATGTAGGTATGTGTGGATCCTTTCCCCACATAGAACCACAGAACTGTAGAGTTGGAGGGTACCCTGAGGATCATCTAGTCCAGCCACCTGCAATGCAGGAATACGCAGCTGTACCATACGGGGATCGAACCTGCAATCTTGGTGTTGCCAGCACCACGCTCTAACCAACTGAGTTACCCATCTGCATATGTTCCAGGAGAATTTGTCATTCAGTCGTAGAGCACATGCTTTCCATGCAAAAGGTCCTAGATTCAAAACTTGGCATCTCCAGGTAGGGATGAGGAAAACTGGCTTGAAAATCTGCGCACCCCCTGCCAGTCAGAGACAATACAGAGTTGGATGGATCGACAGCTTCACCACATACAGGGTGAGTCTTTTAAAAGAGGCTCTGTGGAACATGTGTACTCTGTATCCACGGGGCCTCTTTTAAAGGACTCACTCTGTATATGACACAGCTTCCATGTTATTAAATGGAATCCTTAGTTAACTTGCCCTGTGAAGGCTTACTCCCCATTTGGAGTAAGACAGTCATTCCCGCCTTGACTTGGGAAAGTATATTCTCGGAAATAATCAATGTGCCCATTAAATTTGGAACTTGGCATGCTGATATGGGTGGAAGTTATTAGGTTTTTTATTGTGTCATTCAGAGTGTGCCGGTAAATGATGCCCATTCGTTGTGGCAATCGAGGCAGGAACAAAAATCAGTTTGTAGAAGTGATAACATCCTTACACTGAGTCCTTGCAAATGTGTGAAGATTGTGTTGGAACTTACAGATTTATGGTTCTTTTTACAGGACTTCTCTAACTTGTGCTCTGCTATTCTAATTACATCTGAGAACTCGTTACTTCTATTTCATCTGCTGTATAAAGAATGTTGGGAGTTGGTAATGCAAAACAAGTATGCAATGGATAAATATACTAGAGTGCAAGCGCTACCCGTAAAACTTTAGTTTTAGAGTGTGAACATGCTTTTACTGAGTACTTCTGTCACCACATCCTGAAGGCAGGTAACAAGATCAAATATATGTATTTAAGAAAGTTATAGTGAAATTCTGTCGGTTCCTATGGAATCTACCACACATGTATCCTGTTCATGGCCATGAAATGCCAGCTAGAATAATAAACTTTAAAAATGCTGATGGAGTCCGCTGTGGGCCAAACTAATCGTGATGTTAATCACATGGCTGGCCCTTGCATGCCTGCTTTTTCTTTACTAAATAACAGCCATATTGAAGGTAGAGAAATATGGATTAGGGCAGTAGCATGAGGGATGGGATTTCAACACTTCACTCCTACCATTCTTCCAATCCAAATCTCCCCACTGCAGCTGCTATCAGGAAATGTTAGGGGTCAAACAAGTATCATTTTAATTGTGTAGTGAGCAACCATTTCTGGTTTCTTTAAAAAAATAAATAAATTAGGCATTCACACAGATAGGCAACACACAGGGAGAGAAGGTTTAACCCCTTCCATCACTTTGGTGATCCCAATAAAAATAATTCCCAAGTTGCAATTAGCCTTTGGGAGGGAATAACACCCACTGGCAGCAATGGGAGAGTTATTCTTAATGATAATTGTGTGAGAGAAGAAGGGGTTAAAACACACTTCTCTGTGCAGTGCTGATGAAAATCAGGGAACCTGACCCTAGAATTAATTTTTTAAAAACCAAATGTGGTCGCTGAGCATGAAACAAAAGTTACATATAGCTCAGCCCTGAGAGGAGACAACTACCCTTCTAGTTATCTGTCAAGTGTCCACTAGGGGGGCAGCATTAAATACCTCTCTGCTCTTGCAGTCTTAGCTTGTCACATGGATGAAGGAAGTAGATGGTGCTCTCAAATTTTCTCAAGGCATTGTGAAGCATCATAAGAGCAGAGCCAGCAGCCTTCCATATGTAGAGCAAAATTTGTCTATGTCTTTATCACAGAGTGGAAGGCAAATGCAGGCATAAATATGGTTTCAGGTGGAATTCATATATTTTTCCTGGTCTTTTTCACAACTTGCTCCTGCTCTCTATAAGTGCCAAATAAGGGATGCAAGAAATTAGAGATCGCTGAGATTTAATTAAAATGACTACTTATGTTGTTACAACTGCCACCATCAGTAGGACACCAAAAGACATGTCTGTCTCAGAATTCCACTGTCTCTCAACACATAATTCAATAGTTTTGTGTATTTGTGGTGCACGCCTGTAATCGTGTGTGTGTGTGTATGTCGGACGTATGTTATTGTGTTCACATGAAATGCTTGCCAGGATTATAAGGGCTTCTTAAGAAGTCAAAAGTATTTTATCCTTCAGCCACTATCTGATTTTTCTTATTTTTATTTTGGCAAATGTCACTGGCCACACAAAAAAGCCCTCAGAGTGTTCATGACTTAATTTATTTCTCCACTTCACTAATGCCTACTGTAATGTCCTCAAGGGGACCTAAGGTACACATGGCAAACAGCCTATGACAACTTGCACAGTGTTTACCTTTTCAAGGAAAGCAGAAGTCTGATCTCCAGCAGCTCTAAAAGATGCACCTCATTTTCTGCACAATGTTTGCCAAGGACAGGGGAAACCTGAAACCATATTGTCTACTCTTTGTAAGTTGAAAATATTTTCTTTCACATTAACATGTTTTCATGTAGAAACCGTGACAAAACTTAATGCATGTAACAGTGCCCCCTGCACTTGGGGTTCCCCCTGCTTCTCAGTGTCCCCTGCTTCCCACCTGTCAATCATCTGACATCACAATGACTCCAGGTACCATGTTTTCATTTGCCCACACAATCAAACCATGTGGACAAAGGCACAGGTAATCAATAGCACTTGCAAAGTGACTTCCTAGTCAGCTGACACAACTTCAAATTAATGTAAATACAGTATACACACACTTTGAATATATCTTAAAGTATAAAGTATAAACATATCTTTAAAGTATACACACACTTTAAATATATCTGCATGATGACACAACTGCTGCATATTTTGTGCCAGTCAAGACCCAGTCAAGTCCCTCACTGCTTCTTCTTGCTGTTGGCATCCAGACACAAAGACCCCCCCCCCGTATCTTCTACTTCATGTGTATAAAGACATTGTTTCTAACATCAGCTAATGTGTGGTCCATGCAGCAGGTTAGAATTCAGATGTGCCCTAAACTAGTCTAGTAGTGCTGACATTACAATTAGTCCAAAGTTGTAAATGGCTGGTGATTTGGGGGCAGGAGGAGGGTTAATAAAACAGAGTTGCAAGAAAGGTTATGGTGGGCTTCATGAGACACCATCTGCCATCTGTTCCGGCCATTACACTCTATTTTAGTTCTACTGAAGGCATTAAAGTCATGCCAGTCTTTTTGAGGCTGTAAGAACATTGGTATGCTTTAATAAACCGGAGCCAAGTCTTAAGCACTTCTCCACTCAGAAAGCAGAGTTTTTGAAAGGTCAGAGGTCACCACAGACAGCATCCATTCCCTCCAGTCACCCTTCTGCCAAGAACTAAGACCTCCATGCTCTGTGACCTAAGGTTAGAAAAAAATTAAACAAGCAGAATAGGTCATGGACTCCACAACTTAAAAACCTCCAGCATCTTTACTTCTCGGGAAATGGACCAATGCCTGATGCCTAAATATAAGACCTTAAAAGGTGGTGAATAACCCCTTTCACCCCAGAAATCCAAAGATGAAATGTACCAATTATTTGCTTTCAACTTTGTTCCCAAGTCCGCAGGCTGCTACAATGGCCCAAATAGAATCCCTGATGGAGAATCTATTTGCCTTTGAATGGCTGAGAAAGCCAACACTCTGTGGTGCTTCTTCATTTATTTATCACATTTGCATTCCACTTTGCCTCCAAGAAACTTGGGGAAGGATATGTGGAGTTTTTCGTTTTATCATCACAAAAGAAACCCCTTTGAGGTTTAAAGATTGCTACTGGCCCAAGCTCCCTAAGAGAACTTCAGGGTTCTGCGGAGTTTTGAACACAGGGTCAGCATGGTCCACATCCACTATGCTCCCTGGCACACTGTACCAGCTCCTGTTGGTGTGTCCTCCCTGTAAATGCTGCTGTTGGCCGAATGTCATTTATGCAGAAGTTGTAAGACAAGCTGGCCTGGGACAGCAAAAAATAGCTTGAGGAACTCTCAGTCAAGACAGATGGTCCCAGTACTGGAGCACCTGCCTCTTAGCTGTGCTTGCTTCTTGGCCTGTTTCTTGCAATGGCTCAACATTTATTCTTGGTGGGCCATATCCCCCCTCACTCAATTAGTTTATGTCTAGGGGTTTTGTATGCTTTAGGACCCAACTGGTTCACTAGGAGGAGTCAATGCTCACAATTCATAAGGAAGGAATAGAGTACATAAGAAGCTGTCTTGTGTTGAGTCAGATCATTCCTCCATATAGGCCAATATTGCCTGCAATGTCAACCCATGTCTCTTTAGGGCAGGCAGGGCCAAACTTGGCCCTCCAGCTGTTTTGGGACTACAATTCCCATCATCCCTGACCACTGGTCCTGTTAGCTAGGGATGATGGGAACTGTAGTCCCAAAGCAAGCTGGAGGGCCAAGTTTGGCCAAGCCTGCTTTAGGATATCAGACCAAAGTGTCTCTCAACCCTGCCTGGAGGTGCTGAGGATGGAACCCTAGCAAATCATGTGCTCAGCCACTCAACTTTGATAGTGACTATGATCCAGGGTTGGGGCAGTTCTGGTGGAGGCAAGACACACACACACACACACACACACACACACACACACACAGAGGGTATTGCTGAAGGAAGAAGTGGTTCCATGTCTCCAGGTACAATGGATGTACAGTGGTACCTTGGTTCTCAAACCTAATCCATTCTGGGAGTCTGGTCGGCTCCCGAAACCATTTGAAAACCAAGCCATGGCTTCTGATTGCCTGCAGGAGCTTACTGCTCTCAAGTGGAAGCCGCACCAGGTGTTCAGCTTCCAAAAAACGATCGCAACCGGAACACTTATTTCCAGGTTTGCAGCGTTCGGGAGCCGATTTGTTTGGCAACTAAGCCATTCGGGAACCAAGGTTTGACTGTACTACAAACCACTATAGCTGCCACTTCTCAACTTTTCACCTGCACAGTACAGATGGAGGCCCACTATCTAGAACCAGATGTCTGAGAGTGGCTTAGGGCAGTCTCTATCTCTCCTCCCTTTGTCCCTCTCCTACCTTCCTTCATCTT